CAGAATCACAGGAAATTGGGGCTAGAAAGAATTCAAGAGTTCTCCCTATATTAGTGCATCTCCCTGGCCAAAGCAAGTTCTATACAATGTCATTCCTGGATGATATTGCCTTGAGAAGGGTTCCACTGATGGAAGCTGCACAGCTCCCCAGAAAAACTACACTAATGCTGCCCCACAGCCACGACAAACTTCCCCTCATACCTAACCTGAGCCCACCACTTTGTTCCACCATGGACACTGAGAACTCTTTAGTCTACCCACGTTTGCTTTGGACCCACACGTGGCTTGCAGGTCCCTCCACACGAACCACACCTTCTGCTGGTGTGCTCTTCCATCTCCCAAAGATCCTGCAAGGTCCAGCGACTGAAAGCTGGAACGTGACCTATTCGGATTAGAAACAGGGTGCAAATTTGAACACCACAGGTATTTTAACAGCTGGGACAATTTACCACAGGCTGTGCTGCAGTCCGTGATGGGCAGTTTAAAATTAGGATACCGGATATTTTCAAGTGATCGCTGTGTTTCAAAAAGGAATTAATTCAGAAACATCCTCTACTGAGTGTTCACCCTGCATTACGGTGCTATATTATCCTGTAATTGGTTGTTAGGTCAGGATTGCAACCTGGCAGGTTCCCCTTCCTTGCCTAATTAGTGTTTCTTCCTCGTAGGTCTGTGTGGAACTTGGTTCTTTCCCCCTACAGAGCTCCGTCTCCTGTGCATAGCCCCTCACAATACCGACTTACTCCCTGACATAACTCCAGCCTTTTGCACGTAGAACTGCCTTTGCTCAAGCGGACTGACATGAGGCTTCTAACAAAACGAGCTGTTCATTCTGATGCACCCGAGGCAAAGTGGCAGCCACCTGGCAACCCAGGACCATTTGCCACTCAGATATTGTACATTTCCCTCCTGCCTAATCCACAGCCCTGCAGTGACATGAGGCATTTGCCTTCCCCTCCTCTTAAAGCATGGACCTTCCTGGGGCCGACCCAACATGCGGCACAGAGCTGTGCCACGTGGAGACCTGGCTCTCCCCGTGACAAATCCTCCCCTACTGCAGGACCAGGCTGCTGCACGACACCCCAGCCCCGTCACTTGGCTTATGTAGGGTGTGAGTCCTTCCCAGCATGAGCCCAGTCTGTCTTCAGCTGTGTAAAGTGCCTGTAAATCCACGGACCGATAGCCAAAGCACAGGATCACCCTATTCATCATGCAAATCTCTTATCTCTCTAGCACCCTCTGCTAGGCTCAGCCAACTTACTCCTGTATTTTGGCCTCAAAAACACGGCTCATTTCTCATCCCAGCTAATGGTCCTGCTCTTGCAAAATCAGGGGTGAAGGCCAGCTGAACCAGGTTCCCCTTGCCCCGTGAGCAACCACACATGAATATTGTACCAGGTCCTAGACAGAGCAGTACCAAAAAAATTGGGAGAAACATTTTCCTGTGAGGGTGGTGAGACACTGGCCCAGGTTGGCCAGAGAAGCTGTGGATGCCCCATCCCTGGAGGGGTTCAAGGCCAGGCTGGATGAGGCTTTGAGCAACCTGGGCTAGTGGGAGGTGTCCCTGCCCATGGCAGGGGGTTGGAACTTGATGATCTTTACGGTCCCTTCCAACCAAACCATCCTATGATTTGATGTGTGGGTTGTTGCATTAAAGCTGGCAACACGAATGCAAGGAGTGCAGCTCCCAGAACACACGACACTTAGCTCTTCTGAGCGCTACACTCCTTGCAACAGCACAGACACAGCTTACCCAAACAGCCCAAACCCTTCAGGAGTGGGGGAATCCTACTGGATCAGCCTCTGATTTCCTCTGCTTCCACAGCACAAGCAAATATGCAAAGAAGTAAGATGATATTTTGCTTCTTGCAGAGAACAGCAGATAATTCACTGAGATTAAGGAACAGCCTCCTCTCCCACTGAAACCATCTCCACAGGCTGGGCAGTAACCTGGCTGCACGGGAACCATGCTGCTTGAGCGCCTCTCTGTGGAGCTGAGCTCCTCTTCCTCCCTCTCACAATCCTCAATCCACTGATTTTTTAATTTTATTTTACTTCTTTAAAATACAGAGCCAAATTGCTCCTATTATACCCAGGTAGCACCTCTGAGTTCACTGAACTTGGCACTGCACTAGGAGTTGGCCCAGCCAGAACTCTTATAAGTTTCATTTTTTGATGGTGATATTTATGATATCTCTCAAGGCCTTTCTATATTTTCCAGCAGCAGAATAGCTCAAATTGGCTCAGACCTCCAGCTGCCTAGGGCTCATGGAGTGACTGGGCATGGAAGAATAGCTAGCAAGGGCATCATCTTTGGAATAAGCAATGAGATGCCACTGGTCCTCTCCAAAATGTCCTGTGGAGCTCAGCACACAGCTCCATCACCAACGTACATGTCGACACACTGATCATACCAATTCTTCTACATCCCTTCGAAGAAGTGGGAAGCAAATGGTCTCCTACTGAAGTCATGAGTCAAAACAAAGGCTCTTCATCAGCCTCCTGCAGCTGCTTGTTGTTTTCCTTTCTCTGTGGAGCCTGCCAGCTCCTGGTTATCTTGGCCAAACACATGATTAGGGGTTTAGAGCAAATTCAAACTGCAAACAAACAAGCACATCTTGAGATGAAGACACACAAACTGGTGGATGCAGAGTACATCCAGCTGTTTAGCAGATCCTGTCCTGCCTCCTCTGACACTAGGCAAGCCCTGCTCCTCTTCTGGATGGAAAGCAGATGGGGTAGGATTAAGGGCACGGACCCCCAAGCCCTTTACATTTGCACAAATAGCACGAATTAGACCCAGTGCTGTTTGAGAGGCCACATATCAGTTGTGCTGGCTCTCTGCCACACAGGAAGCAA